TACTACTACTACTACTACTACTACTACTACTACTACTACTACTACTAAACAAAACAAAACCCAACACAACAACACAACACAACACAACACAGCCAAACACAACACAACACAACAAAACACACCACACCACAACCCAACCCAACCCAACCCAACACAAAGTTAATTCTGGATCTTCTACCCACCCTCCCATCAGAAATCCATTTTGTTCTGATGCTAATCACAAGCTAATTCTGGATGCTTTGTTGGCTCCACTACCATGTGTTAAACATTTAGGTAAAACACTTCCATTTGTTAAACATTTCTGGAATGTTCAACGTTTCTCATTTGTGCGACAAACTCTTACACAAAGGTATGTGTACAAAAGCAAAACAAAACAAAACAAAACACAAACAAAACAAAACACAAACAAACAAACAAACAAGCAAGCAAGCAAGCAAGCAAACAAACAAACAAACAAACAAGCACACAAGCGCGAGTTCGACTTCGCTGCTGCTGCTTCTACTATTCTGACTGACCACTACTCACTCCAAGCCCAGGGGTTTTTTTGCGACAGTAATTTCAGAACTGTGGCAGAAAACCCTGCTTTCCAGCAGCACCGTCGCAGAAAACCCCCCTTGCAGGTAGCACCGTCGCAGAAAACCCCCTTAACTGTGCAACTGTTTAAAAAAACCCCTAAAACTGTCGCAAAAAAAACCCGTCCCCAAATTCGACACCAACCATTCCGACAAACATAAATGTCGGTGTCTCAGAGCTGCATTGAAATGTGTGTTTCCAGGGCTACATTGGCATGTTCTTCATATTTGCCTATAGGAGCATTAGGGTATGGTCAAGGAGGTATGTAAGTATATAAATATAAACATCGATAAACCACCATTTGGGTGGTGCTGGTCTGCTTCTTCATGATTCTTCTCCCCTCGAGGTAAGGCAGTTGGAACATAGCTATTTCAGCATGTACAAGTGAGTATGTCAAGAACATGTTTCTCTACCATGGACTCCCCCTCTCTGCCGTTTCCCTTCTATACATGCCTCGATGGAAACTCCAAGAAACCTGGCTATATTGATCATGTCTTGACGCATGCACTTGGACTCGGAAGTGTCAAGAGGGCGCCCGCCTGTTTGCTCCAGCATCGACCAAGAAGCAAACCGCCTGCAAGTGGCCTGCAAGTGGGAACGGAAGGTGCAGTGAACTCGAAAGGGTCTGCCAAGGCGCACCCAGAGGGCTAACCTCCGATTGTTCAAAAACACATCTCCTCCCCCTGGAATATGCAGGAAAGCACTTTTTCTAAGAAACTGTGCCATCCATGACTTCCGTATTTGTTGGATAGAGCTGAGCTGTGGGGGCGTTTTCAGGAGGCGTCTGAATTGTGGGTCTTTGGATTTTCGTGTTCGATCTGGAGCCACCGCATCAAACAATCATGACACCTGCGCTAAAAAGCGGGAACGGCCATTGTACTGTGGCAATCCTACTTCCTATGACAAATGACAGCAAAAAACTGATTCTTCAACTAAGAAAGGCTACCTTGCCCTCAAAAGAACGTGTCTTTTATGTTCTTGTTATTTATAAAAATAACATATCACTAATATCACGACACCCTTATATATCTTTCTGGCACTTCAATGTGTCGCAGGCAGAATGATTCACCCTCTTCTTCGATTCCGACCCACCTTCGCCCGTTGAAAACCGGGACCGGGGATCGAGGCCAAAACTCCGTGGAACTCGCACGGCTAGACGAAAGGCTTGGTTTAGGGTAAATACAGCATAGACGAAAGGAAGAACAACGGACAATGGCCCCCTTAAGAAAACAGCATCGATTTCTATGATTCTAATATGGATTATGCATGTTATATAATGTAGATCGTTGGTCAAGGAGGCAAGCGGCTTAGTATGTGACATGGGGCGTCATATATCTCACTGATTTCTCCAACCGAGGACTAGACCCAAGATACACAAGGGAAAGTCACCTGAATTGGCTTACAAAGGTGCCGTTGCCATCAACTGGTTCTAGTCTATACTACATAAAATCGTAAAACCTTACATGATCCCGCAAAAAAACAATATACGAAGATTCAATTCCAGAGACCCACTTCGAAAAACACCAAATTCCACAGCTCACCACCTGCTTCAACCACTTCGCCCGGAGCTTCTCCCCCAACGGCTTCTCACCCCGCCTCGCTGCGCCGCGAGGCTCAAGGGGCTCTGCCCATTGGCATCTTCGGACTGCACTTCAGCGCTGGACTGGACCTCGGGGTCCAGTGGACATCGCTGAAAGAGACATCGCTTGTTCAGTGTTATCATAGTGTATCGGATAGGTCGGTGTAGAATAATGTGCGTTGGCCTGTCTGGGATTTCTCCAACGCTCGATTTGCAATATACTACAAGCACACAACCAGCACCGAAACAACGTGAACATGTTCCAAGCATGCCAAGTTGATGGAAAATAACCGATCCGGGTCCACAACAATGTCCAAAGAACACTCATCTCCCAAAAACCTGTTCGTGCACTGATGTTCCTATAACCGAAAGAATCCAAGTAGAAAACATCTGCTAGAAAGAGGGTCCAAGGGTTCGGAAACGCCCAATGGGTTGGGAAACAAAAACCCCATGTTCCTTGCGGGTCTCAACAACAACGTTGAACAAAAATAAGTGACACACTTTGGAACGAGACAACTCCCTCATGTAGCTGTTCTGCGTCCAGCCGAAAAGGCTCCAGTCCGCCATGGTTGAGTGATTCATGCTACCGAAGGGTGTGAAGTGTGCCAACAAGCTACAGCTGTCAAATGCATGCAATGCGAAAACACTTGTTGGTCAATGTAGAACGACCCCCAAACACCCACCGCTCATTGCACAAAAACTGACATTGAAATGTTATTCAGTATGTACGCTGAACCCAGTCTGTCAGGGTAAGCATGGTAGTCATGTAAATATTGCATTAAAAGCATTGTGTACCAGCCTCGAATGCAGTGTGGAACAGTACTGAAAATTGACAACTTAAATAATAGATCCGTTCATAGAAGCATCTGCTACATTGGGCCATCATTGATGCGCTCTAGTGATTCTCCACCGTGCGATATCGCCAAGCTTTTGGAAGCGCTTCGGGAGAAAATATGTTTACTGTTTACTGCTATTGCTACCGTAACTGTTACCCGAACAGGGTTTGGGCCAACAAACAACCTTCACCTTTTCTCGGGTCCTTGCTTCTCAGGGGTAGAAATAAGAAGTCAAAAAAAACTGTTCGCTGAAGTCCAATACATCCGCAGACCGGCTCATCGATTTTGACGACCAATCTCCAGTGCCGTTCACCCGAACTCAACGAGCTGTTCCGGTTCAGAAAGGGCCCCAGGGTCTCTACAAGGTATTTTGAGTCCGGGTAGGTCACATCGTGGAAAAACATAAAAGTCTTCAAAAAATAGAAACACATGAACAACTGATGAACTTGGGTGCTCCTTGTCTTGTGTCGCGTCTTGCTGCCATTTGCTGCCCAAGCATCCAGAAAGCGGATCAGTGGCAAGTGTCCCCTCTCCATCGCCCAGTGCAACGGCTGACGCCCCATCGACCCCTGACAGGTCGTCGACACCGGTCGCTGCAGCCGACGTGTGCTCGGTTGGAAGTCACGTGTGCTCGGCTATAGGTTTTTCAGAAACAAACTTTGCAGTACCCAGACACTCCATGGGACTGGCATATATACCTACATTGGGGTGGTGCCAATAAAGGTCAATGGGGCGGCAGTCCGCAGTCCCACTGGTCGCGTCTGGTTGGCAAACAAACAAGCCACATCACATGCTAAGTGAATGCTCTGGGCCCGGTCCCTGAGCGTGTTCGGAGTGTCTTCTTCGCCTCTGGTAGAGATGGGACGCACATCTCACTGCTTAAGCAGGCGACCAAACAAAGGGGGTGGTCAGCTGGACCAAGCCTGGGCTTCCCAATTGATGATCGTCTGGGCTCACGACTTAGCCGCAGCCAAAGGATCAGGAATGATCAGGAAATACTACAACACATATTTTGTTTCTTAATAATATATCTGTCTGAGCTTGACTTCTGACTTTCGTTGACTTTTGTAAAACGACCAGGGGAACACGGTCCTTGCCATGACTAGGTCCCATCATAACTTCCTTCCTTCCAACTTTTCCAATACAGTACAAAAGATCTGTGACTGCGTCTAATCCCTTAAAGCGAATGGATTTCTCCACTCGACATTTAACCAGCCTTCTCCATATTCAGCCTCATTGCTGGGTTATTTACCGATCTCCTGGACAAGCCGCAGCAATGTTTCTTTTAACTTCCCAATGAGGCGTTTTAGCAATGTCTAGCTTCCGCACTTACCACCCGCCTATACCCGCCTCACCCAAACCTGACAAGAAGGTTGTACCGGCCGGGTCGCGACAAACAGGCACATCATCGGAAACAAACACCCGAACAAAATGGTTCTGAAGCCGAAATCATTTCATCAATGGGTGGATTTGAACTCGGTTTCACCTGCTGCTGCTGATCTATGGATCACTACAAGTCTTCTTCTTCTTCTGTAGATCACCACTATTCACCACCTGTGGAGGATTCCCAACTCAAAACCACCAAGTTTGGGAATCAGAAAAACAACACTTCCTTGGCCCTAGAGACCTGCATCTTCTCTTAAAAACATGGATTGCACTCTGGCTCACGACCTCATGGAAGTTGGACATCACCACTGTTCGGTTCGCTACTTTCCTCTACAAAGAGGAGCTTTTCCACTTCCATATCTTCCATGTTGACGATTCGGAGCGTTAATCCGATTCCGAATTCGTCAGATTCAGTGCTTTCACCGCTGTGACGTTGCTTCGGTTCACCGCATGCCCCTTGCTCCACCGCACGAGCCGCTCGATCGCCTGGTTCACGTCTGCCGCCACATCAACCAGGAAACGGACCACCTCACAGGGGAGGAACATTAATTATTCATCTCGTGAAAGATGTTGTCCTCCTTATGCTGCGCTTGTTTGTTTGCCTGGGCTGCTGCTGTTTGCTTGCTTGTTTGCTTGTTTGCTTGTTTGCTGGCTGGCTGGTTGGTGGGTGGGTGGGTGGGTGGGTGGATGGGTGAGTTGGTTGGTTGTTGTTGTTGCTGTTGTTCTTGTCGTCGTTGTTGACAGGATTACTGGCCGTGCCTCAAAATGCCCACGCTCCGCCGCACGGCACAAGGGGCTCATCCCTTGAGCATCACGGAGATCCTGGCGACGACGGCCCCGACGATGCTGCCGGTGGAGCAGCTCTTGATCCGACCAGTTGTGGGATCCAATTACAGGTACGTAGGGCTTGGGTCTGGCATGTGAGTCTCATAACTCACCCAAGCTAGGATCAGGTGTGGATAGGATCATAGCTCAAATAGGAAGGCCCACACCGTTCATCCCGACCTGCTGGGATTTGATTCGGGAAGCTTCGACCTGTCCACCTAGCCAGGTGCCGTTGGAGGTCTACCTTATTCAAACACCCCCTCAAATGTGGGCTCCCAAAAACGTTTCGAGTCATGTTGTCATATGATGTCTTCCAGGGAAAATTCACGGGATGACATGGGGTGCGAGTGTAAGCCATAGGTAGGAACCAGCTGACTCAGCTGACTTGGGGTCCCATCAAATGTAGCCTGAAAAACACTAGAGATTGGTGTCACCAAAACCCGACGGGCGCCCTGGACATTGGCGGTCTTTTGAAGCGAATTTGAGGGAAGTGGAGTTCCCTGTGGGCATGGAATTTCCGACCAAAGCAGCTGAAATCGATGTTCCGATCGTGAAAAAAATCGTCCGCAAAAAACGAGCCTCACTGGGTGTGGTGTTCCTTTGTTGGGCTGTGCAGTGGTGTTTCACTTTGGGAGGTCTACTTCATGATCTTCATGTGATTTTGGAAACGAAACATCAAGTGAGTATGTAGCTCAACTACGGCTCAACCTCCCAGGCGTTCCGACCCCCCTGGAAGCAGGATAACAAACCAGTCTACACGGAGTCTCCCTATTAAAATACACACATCAAGAGTGCTTTTGACAAACTAGTTGTCTGTCTTGCTTTCTACGCTTCGCTGTTCATGGCTGCAAGCCAACAAGAAAAAACACTTGGCTGCAAAGAAACTCACTCCCTCAATTTCCCTCCCAGACAGTTTGAGGGGTCAATGTAGGCATATATGGCATACATGGAGTGTCTGGGCCTGGAAAAATGCAGGTTAAGCGTTTCCCACCGGTTTACGTCGTCACCGTCGTAACCCCACGCCGCGCCTTGTCAGCGCCGGCATCCACCAAGCACCATAAGACCTGTCGGTGACCTGCATATGGAAAGCGGACATGTGAAAACATACCATGGGGACAAAGCACACAAAGTGAAAAATGACCCGTGGAAGACTACTACAAACAGTTCCCTGTCCCTTTCCATGCTTACTTTGTTTGAAGTGTACCGTGAATCTGACTTATCAAGGGCAGCTTATAAAAATGGCACGGTTGATCTACCAATTTCTCACTGATAAAAACTCGATTCGTCAAAATCACGGCAACTTGCGAAGCGCACATGTGTTTTTTGCTTGTGATCTGGACCTCACAACAGCAAATCCTTCTCAAGTCTCTCAGGCATTGCAGGTGGTTCCAAACCATGCCTATATGAGGGCCATCTACCCATCTACCACCACGAACATCAACCTAATGATAGCAGCCTGCTCCCCCTGGTTTGAGGTGTTCATCAGCAACACATGGTTTCGTCGGCATAGCAATCCATCAGCGTCAAGTAACGCTTCAACAGGTCTTTTGTGATTGCGAATCTGATTCAGACCAGACTTCACAGACTGGCATTCTTTGATTCCGTGGTGTGGTTATTGATTCAACTATTCCCCGACAGTTTGGGATCCTCGGCAAGTGAGATCCAACCCCACCATGTTGGTTCAACATTGTTCACCACCAATGAATCCAACATTGGGTAGAACTTTGGAACCTCCACCGAACCTGAGAAGCTGCAAAACGAAAGCCAGCGCTTCCCTTTCTCGAGAACTGCGCGTCGAAGCATAGGATAGAAAGGTAGGTCTGCACCCTAGATCCACCATCCCACTCCATTTTCTTTCATTTCTCTACGGCAGCTCCGCTTGGCATTTGCCAGGTGGAGGCGGCCGTGAGACCTCTTACACACCTACACAAGTTCAAAGCACGAATGAGACTTCAAAGCTGTGGATTGCTGTGCGTGTGTAGAGGCTATCGAGCGGTTGACGGAAAGGGAACTTGAAGTACTATACCTGGTAGCTGCAAGCAAGGTGCCAACTACACCTTTCTTTTCAAGGTGGCCTGAACAGAGTGTTTCAGGGCAGTAAACCGTGGTCTCAGGCCACCTTGAATTTAGCTTGAAAACCACAGCT